GAAAAGTATAATAAACTTATTTTATACGTTTGATACACACATCCCATCAAACTTATCACATAAATCGCTATTTTGTAACAAATATTCAGTATTTTACTCATTATTTTAATTAATTATATTAAGATTTATATATAATTATTGTATTTTTGTTTTTGTAGACTACTATGATTAAATAATTATTTTTAATAATTTATTTTGAACTAAATAACTGATATTTTTATGCACATTAATTCAATAAATTAGAATAACTCTTAATTCTATCATTTAAATCTATGACATTTAAATAAAAATGATTGTTATCATTACAATAATTTTATATAGTTCAATAAAATGATCTATATTTTATTGTATTCATAACATAAAATGATTCTTGTAACTATGACATTTTGAAAATAAATAAACTATCAATCATTAAGTTAATAAACATAACACTTTTTAATACTATCTATATTTAAAAATGCATAATACTGTATTTATTCAATAAAAATAACTAAAACTAGAAAAAACATAAAATTTAATATTTTTAACTTTATTATTTAAAAACAATTATAATCATAAATTAAACTTATTTAGCTTTAGCAGCCAATAGAGCACGGTACTTATCCAGCGATTCATCCCAATCGGCCTTGGGTATATTATTAATCTCGTCATAATAGGGTAACTCCTGTTGCAGGGTCTGCACCCAGCGTTGATAATTTGGATAGGGGCTAATGTCAATGCTACCCTTATCAATATAACTGGTCAGGGACAGTAGAGATAAATCGGCAATGGTCAACTGGTCACCGGTCAGGTACCGATTGGCACCGATCAGGGTGTTTATCGCTTTCAAACTCTCATCTAGTTTAGCCAATTTGTCGGCAGCCGGTTCAGTACCCATGAGTACCCTGGCCATCTATTTATATTTAAAATTAATTTATTATTAGTATAAATTTATGTCAAAATGTGTGCTTGTCAATTATTACGACTAACTCCGACATTTATAACTCCTTTTACATTTATTATGTAGATTATTTAATAAATTAATATGAATTTTTAATGTAATTTTTTCTTTATAATTAATGTGTAATAACTCATAACTTTTATCTCATACAGAGTCTATGATTAGTGATTAAAAGGGTTTAAAAAATATATAATTAATTATAATAAATAAATGTTACATGTACCATAACTTCAGCGAGTTGAGGCGTGAATGTTAGGTCAAAGTATAGGGACCGGTCCACTAGAGCGCGCTTTTTCGCATCTTTTGGGTAGAGAGTGCTGTCCGGCGCGTATCGGTTGCACATAAACTGCATTACAGCCCGACTTTCCCATAGAGCGAACCCGTCGTCCACCAAAGTGGGCACAGTATGCAATGGGTTTAACTATATTAAATTAATTAAAACATGATTAATTGTTATTATTATTTATGTTTTGTAATTATTTATTTTATTTTGTATTATAATTATTTATCTAAATTTATTAATGTAAACTGAAACTTGTTAATAATCTAGTGTTTTTGCAGATATTTTATTTTATTATTTTTATTAATTATATAAATTTATAAATATTTATAAAGTCCACTATAAACTAAATGAATAAATAATAAACAAACATACATTAATTATAAAACTAACTGCTAAAAATAATCAGATAATAATTAAACCAATAAACTAAACACATTTAACATTGTTAAAATACTTACAGCAATGTACTCGGGCTTAAACTGTTCGCCAGTACTCAAGTCAACTGATGTTAAGTTGAAATCCAAACCTAACTGTCGGGCTGTCATCCACGCGGCCCTCGAGGGGGCGCTAAACTTGTTGTAATACAAATCAATTGGCATTATTAAACTTCAACTAGATGAAATTAATAATTATTTAGTATAATTTTTGTTGTTATAACATCTGACAATGTTTGACAAAATATATAGAAACATGTTTTTATATGTTTTTGCCTGCTACAACCCGAATGCACTAGACTTCCAAGGCCATTTAGTGTTCAACATAAAACAATTACAAAAATGACTAACATAAAATAAGTTAATTGTGATACTGTATTGCCATGGCTTTGATATCAAGTAAAATGTATTATTAATACAGTATTAACAAGTTTGTTAAGCTAACAATATTTATCAAATGTACACTAAAATATTATATTTTGTTTATACTGTAAATATAAATTTAGTGCAAAATAAGTGTATGCTAAGTCAACGTAATGAATATACTTATTAATAATATAACATTTAATTATCAAAGGTAAAAATAAAATTAATAAGTGACATATAGTTTATTATTAAGGTTTAGTTAAGCGCAATCCGATGTCTAGTTAATTAGTAGTATTAATTAATGTAACATTACCTTGTACACTATTATTATAACTTAATTATATGTATCAACAACTACTATCTTGGACGTGATGTTAAATGTAACTTTTGCAATAAATGATGTTATATTTTTGCCAATTTTCATGTCCGTTTTATGACTAAAACGTTTTCCGTTTTATTATTGGTGGTCACCCTATACTTTACATGTATTTAAACAAATATTTGCTTACTGTTCATTGCTAATTTAATTAAATATAGCAAAAGGCAAAATCATATAATTGTGGAGTAGATATTTTTAGATACTGTAGATATAGATGTGGATATGTGTAGATGTAATATGTAGATATTTCGATTTAAAATAATAATAATATCTTTATTGGATCCATCATTCAACACACGGTGAATGGATTACAATTGCAGTCAACTGCTAGTGACTGATAGTATTACACATGAAGTGTATACAACATTTTTAATTGTCTTTATATGATTATATAGTATATATTATATTTCAAACTAATTTCATTATACAATCAAATCATATTACATATTTCAAACTCATTTCATTACATTTTATATTTATCTTATTGAGCGATGTGTAAGCGATGTGTAGTGTGCGGAATGTGGTGATGGGTATCGTTGGCATGTAGTGTATTGTATTGTAACAGTACCGAGTTGAGGGGGACTCTCCTAGTTCGACCCCCACTAGTGAAGGGCGGGTGTATCGGATTACCAGGAATCGAACTCCCGTTCTCAGGCCGTGCAGACGTCACAGTACTCCATGAGTGAACTCAAAGTCCATCCATAGAATAAATTCTCTCCGTAACGTAACCGGAATGTAAAGAAGGATAGCCACTCTTAA